ATCAGATTTTGTTTGTTTGAAAAACTTTTTATTTCTCCTTTAGTTTTAAAATACCTTTTATTTTAACTAGGTATAGAATTCTGAAGCGAGAGCATTCTTTTTTTTTTTTTTTTTCTTTTGGTAGTACAATAATCCATGGTTTTGCTTTCTACGGTTTCACTTACCTGTGGTCAGTTGTAGTCCCAAAACAGGTAAGTACAATATAATATTTTAAGAGAGACAAAACACACTTACGTAACTTTTGTTATAGTATATTGTTATGGTTATTATACTTTATTATTGTTGTTACTCTTTTACTGTGCCTAATTTATAAATTAAACTTTATCATAGGTATATATTTGTAGGAAAAATTATATACAGGACTCAGTACTGTCTGTGGTTTCCGGTATCCACTGAGGTCTTGAGATGTATTACTTAAACAGATAAGGGGGGACTGCTGTACTGTAACAGTGTCATTCCATTGTCTCCTTACTCTCATACTTTTTGGCCGGAAGTCTTCTGTACTTGTGTATTTAATGTCCTTTTGTTTTTTCTCATTGACTTTAAGATTTTTCTTTCTTTTAGTTTTAACAGTTTGAATAGGATATGTCTTGGTGTTTTTTGGAATTTTCTGTTTGAGGGTTCTCTGAGACTCTTAGATGTATGGTTTGATGCCTTTCATTATTTTTACCATATTCTTGGCTATTTTCCCTCCAAGTATTTCTTCTACCTTGTTCTCTCTTCTAGAATTCCTATGACATTATGTTGGACAATTTGATATTATCTCACTGCTCTTGAATGCTTTGTCTCTCCCCTTCCCTTTTTGTTCCTTTTTGTATTTCAAATTGAGTAATTTGTATTAACGTATTTTCAGATTCCCTGATTCTTTCCTTTTCTGTGTCAAATCTTTTGATGAACCCATCAGAGGCATCTTAATCACTTTTGCCTTCCTTTTAATGCATTTAAAAAATTATTTGCATTTTGAGTCTGCCTTAAAGTTTTCATCTCTCTGCTGGAATTCCTTTTTTTCATGCATGTTGGTTGTTCTTTTAGCTAGAACATTTACTACATTAATCACAGTTATTTAAATGCTCTGATAATTCCAGCTTTCAGATTATCTATGTATTTTGTTCCATGCTTTATTCTTGATATTGGTTTGTATCCCTCCTTGCTTTTTTGTCTGTCTCATAATGTATAGTTGAAAACTGGACAGTGTTTGAGATGTTTAAGACTAAGTTAAATAGTACTTATGCCTGGAAGTGACATGCCTTTTTTCTGCTAAGCTTATATATAGTGTGGAGCTGTGCAGTCAGTCTAGTCAGGAGTTGAGTCAGGTTTCAATGTTATGATTGCTATAGTTACTTTAGTTCATATTTGCTTCACATTTTTTTGTCACTTGGTTAATTTTATGAAGGATTTTCCTCAAGTTTCTACTCAACTCTGCACTTTAGGTTTTCCCTGTTTTCTTGTGCTTCATAGAGGATTCTTCCTTGTGTTCTTGCCCCTTCCCCACTGGTAGACTGCTGTTGCTTCTTATTTCATACTTGCCGGTCTGGTTGGGGGAAACAGGGTCATTCTTTGTTTTTCTGGTCCAGCTGCAGTCTTAGGAAGCTTTTTGTCCTGAGTCTTGGGGTAAGGCTTTATAAAGACCATGGCTCTCCCCAACTATATGGGCCCCAGGATGTTTTTCTGCTCCTTCCTCTGGGGTGGAGGCTTTTTATCTTTTTCCTCTCCTTAACAGCGTTGAGTTCTACCTGTGCCTTAGGAGTAACAGTGTTTCATAGCCTTCACTGAGGAGCATCAAACTTTTATTTCTTAGCTTCAAACTTTTGTTTCTTACAGGACAAGGGTACTAGGTGCCTTTGTGCCTTTCTAGTATCCTGCTCAGCCCTTAGTCTTAAGAGTGTCCAGTGGAGGTTTGTGGAGAAAGAGCTTGAAAGTAGATGTGAACTAGAGCCTGTAAGTGGGTATGAATTCTCCTTGTGTCTGTGGCCAGTAGGGATTGTATTTTCATGCTAACCCGCACTCAGTTGTAAATAGTTTTGTAAAGTATAACTGACTTCTTCT